TTCACTACTTCTAACTTTTTTTCACGTCCATGAATTGATTTTAAATCAGAAATATGAGCCATTTGATAAAATAATTGAGATGATTTTTAAGAAATCACTGAGGAGATAGTAAGGATTTCTCTTGACAGCTGGTGTTAAATCTATAATGTCTGTGATGGGACTGGAGAGTTGGCTCTGCAGTTACCAACACTTGTTGCCTTTGCAAAAGCCATAGATTCAATTCACAGCGCCCACACTGCAGCTCACAACTGTAACTCCTTTCCCAGGCACCTGATGCCCTCGTCTAACCTCCAAGGGCACCAAGAATGCACGTGGTACACAGGTATATATGCAGGGAAAACATTCACTCACACACACACATATACACTAAAGTAAATAAAAAATAGGTTCATTAAAAAGTCTAATCTAGAACTCTAAAAATCAGAAAGTATTATTCACTAATGTTGTTACAATGAAGGGAGAAATGAGCAAATGAGGACCTTCTTTCTTTTGAAAGAGAGAGAGATCACTTTTTGATCAGGAAGCTGTTAACCAATTATCTTCAAGAGGTGGGACCAAGTTAGGGTGTGGCCCGGGTGCTCCCTCTCTGTGGTTCCCAGGCAGCACAGCTGAGCTTGGATTTCTCATTCCTGTTTCATGAGCTTTTCCCTTACAATAAATAAAAATATAACTGCTTTATCTTTTAGCTAGCCTGGTTATTTCCCAAACTGAGCTAACTTCTACAACTTCTCAGAGCCATGTCATTAAACAATACCAAGACAGACAAGGTTCCCTCCCAATGTGCTTAACTCTGCTGAGAGAAACAGGTTTAACAAGGAAAGGAAAACAAGAACAGTCAAGAGCATTCCCACTGTGGTGAGGGCTGTGATAAAACCAAGCACAGTAATATGGCTGGATTTACAGAATGGGGCGGGACACACCGTATGACAGTCATCATGGCAAGACCAGAGTGCAGAGCTCAGACAGGAAGGAGATCAAGTTGATGGCATCAGAGTACCATAGTTTCCTTTGAACTGAAAATTGTATTAACTGTATTTATTATTGTTTTCTGTTGTCAAAACAAACAAAAAACCGCAGCCCACCTCTAATTAAAGTTAAACAGCAGGCACCTCATAGTCAGCAGAGACGCTGTGGTCGGGGTTCGGGCACCATCCTGCCCATTTGTTATCTGTGCTACCCACCACCTGATTTCACTGGAATTTGCTCATACGACAGGACGCACATCCCTGGAAGACCTTGCTCCAGAGGCAGTCGTGGTTACGGTGGCATATTAAACCACAAGTCTTATTAAACCATACGTCAAAGCTGGACACTCTCAAGGCAAAGCTATAGAAACAAACTAAACAACACGAACTATTTGCGCACGTCCTCTACTGGCCTGGGAGCATCCGGACCCAGGCTCTTATCCCTGAATATAATGAATTCAGAGTTCCAAGCTCCGTGTTCAATTCAAATGTAGAAACTAGACTTATTGGTAAACAGAAGCACTGTCTTCTCTACAGCAACTAAGCATTCTCTGTGAAACTCTGTAGTGACAAGTTTACACACCAGGCACAGGTGATGCGACACTAAAACTACACCCTAACTCTTCCATGTAGACAGCCATGCGCTGTAGGAAGGTAATCCGCAATACAGCTTCCTACAGTAGAGTTTCATTCTGTGGACATGTTTGGACATGCATTTGGTGTGACCACTCAGTTTACTGCTCAAAAGTTCCTTATTTGGCTTTAATAGGCTATCAGATACTTAGGAAAATAAGCTTATTTTTTAGACTACTTCAAATGTCTGAGATGTCCCAGACAATGGCTTCCACACACTGTAGACTGTTCCCCTGATACTAATATCGCAATCAGTCCTGTGTATTTTTTTAGAAAAAAGACTCTCAGTTTCATTACACACACACACACACACTATGAAGAAATCTCAAACTGAAAGACCCTACAGACCCCCTCCTCAAAACCTGCAGCAGCCAGCCTGCTCTCGTAAGAACATCCCATGTGCTTGAGAGAGCAGGATGAGATATGAAGACTGCAAGGCAGGATATCAATAAGATAGGACATCAACAAAGCACGTTGACTGCAAAACAGGATATCTATAAGATAGGAACAGGATGACTTTTGCTGACACCCATGCTGAGAGAGGAAACCATTCATGCCCCCGCCTCATTCCAATAACCACGCTTTTGCTTCTGTAAACTTGCTTTTTCTCTTTCCTATAAAAAACCCACCCTCCAGGCGGCAGGCGCACAAGTCTTCCAAGAGATCTTGTCACCTGCAGGTACCTGTGTCTACTCAATAAACCTCTTGCGATTTGCATCCGTGCGGTCTCGGCCTGTTCCTTGGCATTGGGGAGGTCTCCTCCCGAGAAAAGGTCCTCGTCGAGGGTCTTTCAAAACAAGCATGGGTTTCCCCATAAAGCTGTATCATTTGTCATATCTTAAATACTACACAAGAGTGTAGGAAACGAGAGCAAAGAATGAGAAAAAGATTGAGAACTGGGGGCTGTCACTCATAGTAAGACATTATAGTATCGTATACAATTATGACCCCAGAAAAGTCTTTCTTTTCTTTATATTTTCTTTCGTTTTTGAGACCCTGTCTCACGTATCCCAGGCTACCCTCAAACTCACTATACATCCAAGGATGACCCTGAACTTCTGGTCCTTCTGTCTTTACCTCCTGATGGCGCCCAGACGTGTGGCTAACTGAATCCACAAAAAGCCTGAGAAAGCTTGGGAAAGAGTAAAGCATGTTTGTTTTCTTGGTAGCAACAATTTTTCGGGTCTACTCTGCTTGCTAGAGGCAAGCAAGCACTCTCATCTAAGAGAGGCTTCCTGACTCAGCTTCAGCTGCAAAACCCTGCAGCTCATTAAGAGGTCCTGCCACAAAACACTTAAATGGTGTTGACGAAAAGCTGAACGCATGCTTTTCGGTTTTCAGCTATAGCAGGAAAAAAGCTGCGCCGTTTAAAAATGCTGGCTTTTTGGGCCGTCCTGCCAGGGCAAACTCTGACTGAGGCAGGAGAGCCAACTACCGAGAGACGACTTGACTGTTGTCTGTTGTAGCTCGCTGGCTGGCAGGGACCTTGAAACGCCATAGAATTGTGTCTATAAACAAGGCTACAGCCTGTATCTCCGCCTTGAGGCTGGAAAGCTAAGGAATGGACTGGATCTAGCTGGCAAAGCCACGGCTTTAATCCTACTCATATTGCTCAGTAATTTAAAGGCTCCTGTGGTCAGAAAAACAGAGAGAGATACAGTAAAGAGATTCAAAGATAAAGAAAATGTTTAAATGATTTACAGTGTGTTAAAAATATATGCAAGCTAAAAGTTAAAAGTTCTTAAAAAAAAGTAAGAAAAAGAGAAGTTGTGTGTGGTAGTACATGCCTTTAATCCCAACACTTGGGAGGGAGAGGGAGATTGACCTCTGTGACTTCAAGGTGTGGTAGCAAACACCTTTAATCCCAATGCCTGGGAGGCAGAGACAGGCGGATCTCTGAGAGTTCAAGGACAGCCTGGTCTACAGAGTTATTCCAGGTCAAAGAGATGCAGAGAATATAATATAAAAGTAAAAATAAATGAAATAGAGGTTAAAATAAAGCGTACAAAGATGGAAAATACACAGAGAATCTTGATACTGTATACTATTATGCTCTCTTTGAATTGTTTGAATGCTGAGGAAGGAGCAACAGCTGCTAATAGATATTTGTTTATAAATGCTGCTGAACTAATTCAACGTAGAGATTTTGATGCTTTGACTTTGAAATTTGGATCTAAGGACATGATACTTTGGAAAGGAGTTTATTTTTTTGTGTTCACAGAGGATGAGACCCTGTTCATTTCTTCTATTCTGATATGGTATGATGGACCACGCCCTCCTGAATGGTTGCTGTGAATACCTTCAGAAAATTGCTTCGCTCAACTGCCAACTGAGATGAAACTAGCACACAGGTTATACCATGGAAGACCTAATTAACGACGACCCCATTCAGCAGGAAGCAGTTTGGAGAGAAAAAACTGCGCCCATATTCCCAAATATTGTTTATAAATGTTCTTTTACATTTAAAGGGGGAGATGATATAGGTATGAATAATTTACATTGATATGGATTTTGCTTTAGTGATTTAAATTTAAGGTCAATTTTGTAATGCATATAGGTTGTTAATGAATAATCATTAATAATAGTTAAGTTTGTAGTCATGTTAGTTAAGATTTTCTAGATGTGCATAGATATATTTTAGATAGGCATTCTTCATATTTTTCAAAGATTATAGAATATGGCATTTTAAATGTTTTAATAACTTAGGACTTTTCATGACAATGAGACACTCTGCTCCTGGCAGCACCAATCTACTTCAAGAGGAAGATGGGCATCGAAGAGGATCCTTATGGAGTTTGATAGACATTTGGGCAAGAAACTGCTCTTGCCTGGACTATTGCATAAACTGGACACAGAGAACCCGCAGAGAGAGGACTGCTGAACTTGCCTAAAGGTGAGATGATCTTTCGGGGTTCCTGATTCATGAAAGAGTCTGCAAGACATTCTTCAAGACAAGCAGATAGTGACTGCCTTTGAAAGTTCCTGCTTTGTGGAAATGTCTGCTGGAAACTATGGGCCTCTAGGCTGAAGATGGATGCCCCAATGGTACAGAGGAACTTTGGGTGACTGTCCAGGCAGTGAGATGTCTCTGTCATTTCTAGAGTTTGAGAGTTTGCTTATTTCTTATTTGCTTAGGTAATATTGTATCTTTCTGGACTGTTTGATGGAGTTAAGAATAGTTAGTTATAGTTATAGTTTTCCTTAGTTATGAAATAGATTATTGTAATTTTTACTTGATAACTGTTTTGTTATATGTAATTTTGCTCCGTTAAAGTTAAAGCCTTCTTTTTTTTGTTTAAACAGAAAAAGGGGAAGTGATTGGGAGTGTCATATATCAATCTGTTGATTTCATTGGCTGAGCAATAAAGAAACTGCTTGGCTTAGCTTAGAGCATAGATGAGAGGAGGAAACAGAATAGGATGCTGGGCGGAAGAGGAAGTGAGGTCAGACTCTGCTCTGCTTCCGGAGAGACCGGACAGCTCTGCTGGAGCAGAGACACCATGCTCAGCTCTCCCAGGCAGCTGCAACCCACGATGGACTTAGGCTAGAATCTTTCCGGTAAGCGCACCTTGGGGTGCTTACACACATCATTAGAAATGGGCTAGACCAGGTGCGAGAATTAGCCTGTAAGGGCTAGAGTTCATGGGCCAAGCAGTTCTTTAAATGAATACAGTTTGTGTGTTGTTATTTCGGGCATGAGCTAGCCAAGCGGCCGGGGTGTTGGGGACACCAGTTCTGCTTGGGCCGAACGCAGAAGCGTGTACACAGGGAGTTTGTTTTGGAAGCGATCCCAGAGAGTAGGAGTGAGCGGCTGGGGAACAAACAGGGGAAAAGGAAAAAGCAGCACATGGAGGTGATGTCATCCAGGTGGGTCCCTGCCGCGGATGACCAACGTTCAGCCTCAGCATGACCCTTAGGAAATCACGACAGAATCCATCTCAGACTCCTGCCCAAAGAAGCATTAACCAGCTAGTTCCCGATAAGTAAGGGTGGCCCTGTAGAGATGGGCTCCCTGCACATCTAGGTTACAGTGACCCCAGGGAGATGGGTTCCCTGTACGTCCAGGTTATGGTGGCCCCCTGGAAATGGGCTCCCTGCAATCCAGGTTATGGTGGCCCCAGGGAGACGGGCTCCCTGTACGTCCAGGTTATGGTGACCCCAGGGAGACGGGCTCCCTGTACGTCCAGGTTATGGTGGCCCCAGGGAGATCGGCTCCCCACACATCCAGGTTCTGGTGGCCCCAGTGAGACGGAATCCCTGCACATTGAGGTTACATATGAAAGTCCTGCTGTGTCACAGATCTCATGGACTCAGAGCAAGGTCCTGGACACCCACTGAGAAGCTGACCAGCTGCCCACCCACTCAGCACAGTGGCATCTGGAGGGAAAGAACCCAGTGACGCCTGGAGGCGCCTGCAATGGACTTTGTCTTAGCATGTGTGATTCCTAAATGAAAGCCCGGAGCTACTGGACATAATTGTTTTAAACTATGTGCCAGCAGGGATAGTTGTTAGCAGTAACAAAATTTGGCCCTGGAATCACCGAGAATACTTTGCTTTTTGATACTCAAAGACAATGGAAAATCGAGTGTAGTGGGTTTGAGTTGCTTTGAAGGGATGCTGCCGTCTCTCAAGCCCATTTTTGTTTTTCATGTGAGAAATGAAGAACTAAGCCAACATTCAGAGAAAAGCTTAACAGCAGAAAGCTAATGTTGCATAATTTACAGAACCTCTGTAATATTTAAATTTAACGCTGGTAATCAGGTCACCTGACCCCAGACATGCACAGAGTCTGAGCCTTCAACACACAAGTTTGGCTCCGATACCACACTCTCGCGGAGTCTACAGTTTTCTCTCCTACCCTTACTCCCATCTCTCTTGCAGCAAAACCTTCACCCTACCCGCAGTGGAAGGTTTGTTTCCGAATAACTGTTTCTGTGACCTGAAAGTGGGGTTCTGAAGCCTGCAGAGCCCTTACCAACCAAATCCTCCAGGGGGCGCTAGTTTCTATCCATGGAACAGCTGGACGTTTGAAACAGATTCCACCCAGAGACTACTGCTGCAGTGTCCTCTCTGGCCAAGCAAGACGGCCAACGAGACAACAGCCAATACAGTTGCATTTGCGAATCTCTACTTCTGTCAGCTTTTCTTCCAGGTGTTTTGCATGAATTCTTTCATTGGATTCTCACAGTAGTCCTGGTAAGTCCAAGTACCATTCTGAAGATAAGCAAACTGATGTTGAGAAAGGGCATAGCCCTACACGGCACTGATTAACAGGTAGTAGAATGTGGATCTGAGCTCACGTCTCTCTACGTCCAGAGTCCCTGCTGTCTTAGGCACTGTACCATACTGTCTTTCAGCCTCGTACCCGTGACTTTACTTGGACCCTGGCTGCCCACCTTCTCCCCTTCCCCAGAATGTCAAGCAGTTGAGTCTATTGTAAACAAGATTTTCCAGAGAATGTTATACTGACTGGGCCTGGAATCTTTCAGGCACATTATTTTGTTTTATCGTTCATTTGGCTTGGACCGTCTTCTTGGGTTAAGATGTAACAGAAAGTCCTTGTGTTAGGACAAAGTCTGGGTTTAGTACCATATTCTCCACAAGAGCAATGGATACCCAAAGCCAAGAAGAGAAAGAGGGGTGGGGCAGATGAGGAAAGGGTGGTCTTCAGGAACTAATACTGAACCTGGCTGAACTCACAGCATGGGACTCTGGAAGCAAAATGCTGTCCTCAAATACCAGCATGTAAACATTGTTCTTTTCCAGATGTGTATCTTACTCCACACACATTGTATTCATATGTGGCAGAGAGAAATATCTACTAGCAATTATTTTACATGAGATAAAAATATCCTCTCCAGACTCCATCCACTCCCCATATTCTAAGTGTTAAGGAACACCGTGGCAGACTGGCTGCATGTCTGCAAGAAAAAGGTTGTTTATGTCTGCTCTCTCCTAGATATGCAGACATGGAACAACTTATTATCATGACCCACGCTTTCTGATTTCTGATTTATAGAGCTCCACAGGATCCCTAGCCAATGCGGCCTGTGCATCAACCCACAGGAACACAGTTTCTGCATTGAGTGTAACCAGGGATCTTGCTGAAGCCTCGTAATCAATTAACACTCCAAGCCTGGCTAAGATATCAACAAAGGGATGGCCATCCAAGAGAAAAGTAAACACATTACCGCAGAGAAAATAAATGTCATTGCTTTTCAATCATATGCAGCAAGACAGGAAATTAAGTTCCTCAAGCAGGCGAGCTGACAGAGCAGTGAGAAGAACGAGGAAAGTCACATGACTTCAGGGGCCTGTCATCCCCAGAAAGGCAATGGGGATGAAAAACTGGCTTTTGTTTTGTTTTAACTGTAGGGTGTATTGACTAAGACCAACAAATTATTTAGCTCTTTTACCTTTTAGGCATTTTATAAATATCTATGCTTGCTAAACAGACAGTGCAGAACCTAGGGAAAAGAAATCCATCCAAAAGTGAGTCTCCCCTTTGAAGTTTTCAGAATACTATGCAGTGTTAAGCACAAAAGATATTTCAGTTCTTGCATAGCCATGCTGGACTGTTGTGGAATATTACTTTAAGGTGTGTTACGTTTCTTCCTACTGCTTTTGTTTACAATGCAAAAACATGTTCCATTTGTTTGATTAAAGAAAAGCTGGCTAATAAACAAGCCGAGCTAAGGCCAGGCATTTGAAGTAACCAGAAGACTCTGTGTGTATTTACTTGGGAACTGGAGGACAGGCCACACAAAAGAGAAAGAGTAAAAAGAGTAAAAGAAAAGCCAACAACATTTTGGCCCTCAAGCATGGGGCTATAGTAAAAGAACAACCACCTACACCAGACTGTTGTAGGTTTGAATGAGAATGGCCTCCATACGTTCCTATGTTTGGATACTCGGACCCAGCTGGTGGAACTGTTTGGGAAGGATTAAGAGGTGTGGCCTTGTTGGAGGTAGGCTTTAAAGGTTCAAAGAATTCAAGTTATTCTCAGCATATTCTTTTTTTTTTCTCCTCCCCTCTTCTCTCCCAGCCCTCACCTCTGTCTCCTGCTTGTAGACCAAGATGTATGCTCTCAGTTATTCTTGCCACCATGCCTTTGCTCCACTATCACGGACTCTAACCCTCTAAAACTGGAAGCCTAATCAAATGCTTTCTATTGTAAGTTGTCTTGGTCATGGTATTTTATCATACCAATAGAAACCCAAACTAAGACAACCATGAATGTAATAGCTAGAATAGAAAGCCACTGAAATTTTCAAACTATTTCTGCCACTCGTCTCTTGGGGTTTTCAATAACCTCACTACAATGGTTATTTTTACTTATAAAAGAGATATAGTTATTTTTAATATACCTCAGAGAAGAAAAAAATGTTGCAGTGTATAAGAGGTGCATGTTATTGAATCTGAAATGTGCTCCCAATATGCTCATGTTTTGAATACGTGGTCTGTAGCTTGTAGCACTATTTGGGGAAGCTGTGGGGCCTTTAGGGAGTGAGATCTGGCTGGCAGAAGTCTGCTGATGGAGGCAGGCCTCTGAAGGTGGGATCTGTCTGTGCTTCATGTCTGAGCCTTTGCTTCATGGACAGATGTGATGTGGACAGCATCAGCTCCATGCTTCTGTCACCATGAACTGCTCCACAATGTCTCCCCCACCAAAACACACTGCATCTCTGAACCTGCCCAGATGGATCTTTCATCCGTCACACTGTTCTTCCAGATACTGTGGTCACAGCTAGAGAAGGTGAACTGATACAGCACAAATACAGAATGCTAGACTAATTAACGTTCTTCAATGACTGAGCTGCATAATATGCTTTCTTTGACATCTTTGATGTGGGATTCCCCTCTGTGTTCTGTGATTACTATTAATGAATAAACTGCCTTGGCCTGTTGATAGGGCAGAACTTAGATAGGCAGAGAGGACTGGACCAAACGCTGGGAGAAAGAAGGGCAAGAAAGAAGGGCAAGAAAGAAGGGCAGAGTCAGGGGACGCCATGGAGCTGCTGCCAGAGATAGAGTGCTGACACCTTGCTGGTAGGCCATGACCTCATGGTGATACACAGATTAATAGAAATGGGTTAAATTAATATGTAAGAGTTAGCCAGTAAGAAGCTAGAGCTAATGGGTCAAGCAGTAATTTAATTAATACAGTTTTTGTTTGGTTATTTTGCATTTAAGCTAGCCAGGCAGCCAGGACAAACAAGCGACCTCCCCCCTACACATCTTAATCATTAGCACCAATACAGTTTGAAAGTGTTCTCAGAGTCAGAGCATCCCTGCTCAGAAATCTCTTCTCTTCTCTCCTCTCCTCTCCTCTCCTCTCCTCTCCTCTCCTCTCCTCTCCTCTCCTCTCCTCTCCTCTCCTCTTGCTCACACTAGCATCAAACTCCTGAGAGCAAAAGGTGCCCCTGTTCAGTCTAACAAGTAGGTAAGATCACAGGTATACGCCACCATATCCAGATTTCTTTTTAGATTATATTCTTTTTGCAAATTTGTTATTAGTATTTTCTCTATCAGACAGAAATAGTCTTTTCCTCTTAGGCATAGAAAATCTTTTATTAAAAAATGGTTATTATTTTTGAGGAAAAATCTTATCACATCACAGTAAACAAATTAAAACATTAAATTTCTCTCCAGAAGTTCCAAAATGTTTTTCCCTCCTCTACCTATACCATTTCTCATTCTCCATTGCTAAAATAAGAGTAGAAACCTAGGCACCACATTTTAACCCCCACACTAGGCAGGCAGAGGCAGGTAAATCTCTGTCATTTCCACGCCAGCCTGGCCTACGTATAGCTAGGGCTATATAGTGAGGTGGTTTTAAAAAATGGCTACCAAAGGGAGTGGTACTATTAGAAGGTGCAGCTTTGTTGAAGTAGGAGTGGCTTTGTTGGAAGAAGTGTGTCACTGTGGAGGCAGGCTTTGAGATCTCCTATGCTCAAGTTACACCCAGTGAGACAGTTCGCTTCCTGTTGCCTGCAAGACGTAGAACTCTCAGCTCCTTCTCCAGCACATCTGTCTGCATACCGCCATGCTCCCCACCATGATGATAATACTAAACCTCTGAAACTGTAAGCTGCTACCTCAATTAAATGTTTTCTTTATAAGAGTTGCCATCGTCATGGTGTCTCAGCACAGCAATAAAACACTAAGACACATCATGAGTCCCGATCTCAAAAAAACAAAACAAATAACCAAACCAGTAGGCATAGGCATGTTTCCTGGTCACGTTCCTCTCCATACCCTGAGCAGCCCTGAGCTGTGCAAACAAAGTGCATCGGCAGTGGGCTGCTGGACGGTGAGACCTGACTTCAATGATACTCTCAACACACAAAACTGTTTCTGGAGTTGCCTTCAGAGACCATTTGTGAGCCTTCTAGGCAAACTGGCCTTTCTCCTCATGCTTCCAAACAATGAATAGGAAAAGCAGAGTTCTCCCAGTCAGCATTACCTAATGCTCACAGCCCAAATCTGCTGCAAACAAAGGAAGGTACCAGGGGCAAATTCCCTGGTGGGCAGAGGGAGCCAAGGAGGGAATGTCATACTTAGAGTCAGTAAGGGAAAAATGAAAACTGCCTCTGAGGACCCTGCAACTCATTATCCTGGGAGACGGCCCCTGACGGTTCCCTCTGCTTTCTTGACGAAAAGAGCAGACTCGACTCCTGGCCTGTGGCAGAGGTGTTTCACAGCCGCTATGTGAAGACAGGCAAGCTGTGTTGGGGACCACACTCACTGCTATGAAGGTCGCCATCACTGGCAGTCCCCAGAGCCTGCCCCCTCTGTACACTCTGGGGTTTTCTAACAACTAAGCCAAATCTTCTCACCTCCTTAACCTCGCCTGCCACAGCAGCCCTGTGGATTGCTGGGCAATTCTGATCCCTGTTGACGAAAGAATGGAGTCAGTGGCCACTTTTAAAGAATCTTCAACTGTTACACTGAGAGAGCAAATGAAGAGTGGAGATAGGTACGGCGGTGCACCTTTAATCCCAGCGCTCGGAAGGCAGGGGTGGATCTCCAGGAGTTCAAGGCCACCCTGGTCTATGTAGTGAGCTCCAAGACCAGGCGAAGCTGCAAAGAAAGACCTGTCTCAAGAAGGAGGAGGAGGGGAAAGAGGGGGAAAAGGAGAGAAGAGGAGAGGTGGGGAGAGGTGGGGGAGAAAGAAGGAGTAGAAATCTGAGTTCTTACATTTTTTTAAGTCTATGAGATTGCATTCTCTTCAATGATGTGCCCCTGTTTTAACATAAAAATGTTTAAAACTACTACATTGTTAACTTATTACTCTTCTCTCCTATGCAGACAAACAAGACGCTGAGTCCTGGAGGCATGTCTTGTCTACTCTGGAGCCATGTGCTGCTGAGAAGACTGACTGGCTCAGTCACTATGCCACCCTCTTCCCGTGCCCCTGCATGGGCACAGATCCATGCCCCCAAATATCCTGTCCTCTTTTTCATTGGCCACCCTACATCACAGTGACTGTGAGAACAGCTTGATTTAGATCCCATGTCCTCCCTCTAAGCCAGCCTGATGCCAGTCTCTTCCCCAAACTCCATCATTCACACCTGCCTCTTGTTCTAGAATTGGGTCCACGTGGATGTGAAGTTAAATTTCAAGTATGTCCACTATCTCCACTGCCCAGGACTCCTGCGTTCCTTAGGAAGCACTGCGCTAGCCATAGGGACAATATATATTCTTGTGCCCATTCACATTCCCTTTAGATCTTGTTGGAGGAAAGTTCATAACCTCAGACCCAGGAAAAGATTCCTAAGGACAGGAACGATGCTTACATCCCAGACCACCAACTCTGCCAGATAAGTTAAGAGACCATAGCTCATGTAATGACAGATCTCAGAACCAGTTCCTTGTCTAAATCAGAATTACAAAGTCCTGCCTGTTAACTATGAATTCCTGTTCCTCCCCTACCAGCAGTCTGATGACAACCTCCACGGACACCAATCAGGCCACTTCCTTCAAGGACACAGAGATGATGTGTACTGTGCACACAAAGCACGTTGAGGGCTGCACCCCACCACCCAGCCTACTCCATTAAACATAAAGTGAAACCAACATGAGATTTGACAATGACATTGCATGGCCACCAACCTCAGAAACACCGTGTGCCATTCTCCTCACCCCACCTCCATTTATGATTTCATAAATCTGCAAGTGTCTGAATATGTGATAAGACCACAGGCTGAACTGGCAGGAGAAAGAGGTCAAAGGCATTTGGCAAGTTCCACAGCACTGAGATTACTTTTAAAGTTTGTTAAATTTTAGAAACAATTCTTTTAAAAAGAAGCAAAACCCTACCTAAGGTAGAAAGTGCTTTATGGATAGAGATGGAAAGGAGGGAGGGAGGGAGGGAGGGAGGGAGGGAGGGAGGGAGGGAGGGAGGGAGGGAGGGAGGGAAGGAAGGAAGGAAGGAAGGAAGGAAGGAAGGAAGGAAGAAAGAAAGGAAGGGAAAGAAGGAAGGGTTGTAAGAGTTCCCTTGTTTGTCCCTGGCTACCCACACTCCCGAAATAACCATAAAAACTGTATTAATTAAATCACTGCTTGGCCCATTAGCTCTAGCTTCTTATTGGCAAAGTCTTACATCTTAATTTAACCCATTTCTATTAATCTGTGCATCACCACAGGTCTTGGCCTACCAGCAAAGTTTTAGCATGTCTGTCTCCCATGGAGTCTCCATGGCTTCTCTTGGACCCCGCCCCCTTCCTCCCAGCATTCAGTTTAGTTTTCCCTGCCAACCTCTATCCTGCTCTGCGCAGGCCCAAGACAGTTTATTAACCATTGGTATTCACAGCATACAAAGGGGAATCCATCAAGGAATGAAGAATATTCTGCTTTAAATTTTTTTATTTTAATTTTAAAAGTTGTTTTAGGTTGATTTATGTGTGTGTGTGTGTTGCCTGTGCACCATTTGCATGCCCGATGCCTGAGATGGTCAGAAGAGGGTACATTATGTAGGTGCTGAGAATTGAACCTGAGTCCTCTACAAGAGCCATCTCTCTTGTCCCTGTGCTCTTTGGTCGTTGACTAGATGTGGCCCATAATGGAACAAAGCTACAAACAAGATCACAGAGATTTTAGTTGGTTAAGAGTGGAAACCACCAGAAAAATAAATAAATAAATAAACCTGCAGTGCCGATAATCCCTAAAATATTTCCTCATTAAGAAAGCATGAAAAAAGAGAGCCCCGTGAGGTTAGGGTTGCTCCGTAGGAGGGGAACAGAGCCTGGGAGGCAGAACTTTTATGTCCAGCCTTTTGTTGCTGCTTTGATCCAACTGCCAAAGTCAGCAAGAAAAGTAAGTGGGGAACCCTTGGAATACATTCCTGCTATTGTTTTAGGCCCGGTAGGGGGGATCTGATGCTCCTGCAAGCACAAGATGGGTTGCAGCAAAGCCAAGCACAGCAGGGCGGGTCCCAGGCAAGAGCCTCCACTTGGGTTCTCAGGCCCTCTCCTCTCCTCAGGGAAGCGGCGGCTGATAATGTGCTGAGGAACAGCATTTGTGGACTTTCCTTAGCCAGCTCAAAGCTCATCAGAAGGTCACAGTGGCCTCTGCAAACCCCACAGAGGAGAGGGATTCAGGATATACGCGCCACTAGCTAGCCCTGGAACTCTCTTGTCCTTGGAGCAAATGCTGTATGTATAGGTATGTACAGCACCTACCACTGCCCTCGGGGAGAATCTGCACAATTAGAGCCGAGTGGGAAAACGGCGCTCTGGGTGCATCAGTAGCTAAAATTTAACCAATCTCAGTTTTCTTCCTTAAAAAATAAATAAAATAACAGCAGCAACAACAAACTATAGAGTAAATAAATGTGTTTTTTTATACTGTGGAAGACATGAGGCTAAACAATGTGGAGCCTTTTGTCATTCAAAGGCCAGTCCCTGCTCCCACCCCCAGATGTGCATGTGTGTCCTTTCCCTACCGTCTATAACGTCTCCGTTAAAAGATTCCGGACCCTCAGCACCTGCGGCCCACCCGCTTTCTGCAGACGCATGAACCAATATCTCTTGGGTGTTCAGCCCTTTCTTCCTCTGGCTGCTAACACTGGGTTCTACACTGCTCACGGGCATTTCCGCTAGGAGATGAAACCTGGAGTAGGAGAGAGGGAAGGAGGGCAGGTGGGCTAGGGGAGAACAATTAGCTCTTCAATTTTACCACGGATTGGCAGTTAGAATAAGAGCTTGGAAAGAATGACAAGATTCTCCAGTTTTCAAGTCAGCGATAAACCATGTTTTCTTCTATGCCGGTCCTCATCCAGTTCTTAAAGGTGGCTACATACAGGTTAGAAAGACGTTCTGCCCAAAAGCTGAAGAGCCTCACATAGTTGTTTCGGCTCGAGTTCAGCAAGGCCTGTTCTCAGAGGGCATCCATTTCCAAGTGACTGAAGCTGCGCTCTAGTCCCCACAGATGGATATTAAGACCTCCGTGTCATCATCACGTGGACGAACCCTACCGTGCAGGGAGGGAAGAACCTAGGGTTGGGAGAAAAGATTAACCCAAGTGTCTACTTTGACATCATCTGCTCAGCCTGCCTAGGTCTGTTTCAGTTTTTTAATGATCAGGGTAGACTGGAGTGCCTTCTAACCCTCCCCAGCTCTAAGATTCTAGAACCCCACCCTTCCAGGCAGGCCTTGTTCCGCTCCTATGCGCTGAGCTGAGCTGTGTGTACCTTCATATCAGACCCCACGGACACAGAGGCTGTCAGACAGCCCTGAACTGGGTTCCACCGTCCACTGACGAGGGCTGTGCATGGCTGCAGACTGTGAAGACCCTGCTCCAGGCACGAGGGAGACTGCAGCACCTGCTGCTGCTGCTGAGCTGGCACATGTACATCTGTGATGCTCACCGACTATTGGCTGTCACCACCGTCACTGTCTCCATGAGACCTCTGGAGATGACCATTTCTTTACTCTCCCTCTGCCTCTCAAATCTAGACATCCTCCCAGGTCCCATCTTTCTGTGAATCTTTCCCAGGCTGTTCCCATTTGCATTTTTCCTTCTCAGCTTCGAACAAAGTTTTCTATAGCGCATATTAACAACTGTCGGGACCACACAATTTAGAACTTGGTTGTAGCACATCTTCTACTACGAGGGGCTTAAGAAATGGCTCAGTGGTTAAGAACACAGGCTACTTTCCCAGAGAATTCTGCTTCAGTTCCCTGTACCCCCCGTGGCACTCATTACCATCTATAACTCCAGCTCCAAGGAATCAGATGCCCTAGTCTGGCTCATAGGCACCAGGTATTGGGCAAAGCATGCATGCAGGCAAAAGAGCCATACACATAAAATAATTTTTCAATTAAAAAGTTGTATAGCACTAGCAGGTTGGGTCAGATGGCTGGTCTGGTGTGGATAAGAATGGGCGCTCTCTAAAGCAGAACTCAGAACTCAGAATGTGCAATTGCAGAGATCAGGTCATGACTCCTGAGGAGATGAGGAGGCAATGAGACCTCGGAGGACGGGGCATATGGTCATGATTTAAAGGTGAGTTGATGAGTGAGTTGACAAGGGATGGAGTTGGGATGTTTCCATCCTCCACCTAACAGGCTTTGGAATCACACCTCCAGAGAGTGTCAACCAGTGTACTTCTGGAAAGGGTTAATGGAGGAGGGAAGACACTCTGAATGGAGGCAACGCCACCTGGTAGGCTGGGGTCCCAGGCTGGCAGGAAGACAAAAACAGACTTAGCACCAACTGGCATCCTCACTCATCTCAAGGGTTCCTTGAGGCTGCGGTTCAGCAGCAGCTCCTCAAACTAGCTCCTCATTCTCCTGGGCTCCCCTCTAGTCTACAGAATCCTCTCATGGGAACAGCCCTACAGTTATGTTTGGACAAGACTACCTCGTCAAGTAACGCATTCAATAACATTTCTTTGCAGGGTTGACAGGCATGTTAACAATTAGCCTGTTTGATAGGGTTGATATCTTGAAACACTTGGGGCTGCTGGAGGAGAACAGATGTGAACAGACCAGACATGTGTAAACAGGCAGAGGGTGGCTGTTGGCTTTGCTTCAGCCCCTTCCTCTTATGTCTGTGATTTCTAGGTGCCTTCCTCTCTATATGTAATCTTCCTTCATCCTGACTCAACCTCCCATAAAGCTTGTGCAACGAAATACCTCCTCCCCTTGCCTCAGAGGGAATTTGAGCTCCAAGTTTTGAGAGGACTGAGCAAAGGAGCCATCTTAAGTGTGACCTTTAAAATGGAACACAAAGGGAATGCGGAAAGAGCTCCAAATGATTTGAAAGTTTCCTGCAATTTAGTCAATAAATATGTTCGGTTCAATATGACCGTCCATTAATTATAAACTCAGAGAAAGGCCACGATGCTATATGCTCACAGAGGCATGGAGATGTCGATTACTTCATGTTTCACCTGCTGGAAATTCAAAATATCAACAATACGATATTCTTGCATATGAATAATAAAAACCGACAGTCTATAAACAAAGGATTGAGAGGCGTCCTTTCCTTAGACTTGGATTGAGCATTCAGCGTCCCACCAGAGAGACACTAAAACCAAGACCAGCGCCCTGAATGTACACTGGTGGTTGTTTTCACTTGGTGACGCTATCAATAAATTAACACCCCATGAATAAAAATTTCACGTGACCCGACATGCTCTTTGTGTGGACGCTAACATGCAAAATCTCAAGGGGTACCATGATCCTAGGGGGCTCAAGGACAGCTCAATCTCATCTCAGTTTTAACCCACCTACTGCTGCCTTCCTCCGACAGACACGTGTTCAGTGCACACGCCACTGCTGGGTGAGCGGTGGGGTGGTGTGTGCAACCCGCTTCATGGACCTGACAGCTCTGAGCTCTGTCAGACATGGCCTTGAAGTCCTGGAGCGCCCAGCCACGCCGCTCTACCTGTCAGGTGGCACATTCCCAGCACAGATTTCTACAATATTTATAAGTCTAGCAACTGCACAGGCATCCTGAAAGCCACGGAGCAGCTCTCTATGGGCCACCTACCCATTCTGAAGAGAATTCTCATAAAATGCCAAGGGGACTTTGATGTCAGAGGCACTAGTTACGATTTTTTTCACGCTCACATAGTTTTGTGAACGCTCAAGTGATAGGTGCAAAACTTCATATTCTGCAATAACTTACTCTGTCTAAGCATAAACGTGCTGCTAAGCAGGCCCTGGTGGTCTAAGGATGATGTCATGGACCAGACCCCTCTGCACAGGGCTGGCCTGAGCACCACAGAGCCTGCAACTTCTCTGTACTCAGGGCAGCAGCCGGGCCTGCTTCACACATTCCCGACTCCCCCGTCTATGTCCCAAGTGCACAGTGAATCCACGGCCTGTGAACCCACCGCCACACAGATTACACATGCACTTG